AAAAAAAAAAAAAAAAAAAAAAACTCGATAAAATATAAATAATTTATATACAGAAAATAAGAGGCAAAATCTTTTCATATTAAGATATAGTAAACCTTTGCAATTATAGCCTGCACCATGGAAAGCCTCACAAATTTTAAATTGAACAGTGGGGTTTGGAAGATACCCTATTAGACTTTTACTTTACAAATAGTTGACAAAGACAGATCATTTTTTTCCTAACAATAATAAAGATGCTGAAATGCTATATTTACTTTAATAATGAGCTATTTAATACAATGTACTCACTTCTCCCTCTGATATAAGTACTTACTAATACCTAAAAGTTTGCTAGCTAGCAATTTTTATAGACTTGCACACTGCAAGGTTAATAGGCTGCTAAGCTGATTCATCTTTTCTTAAAATAATTGAATAGTATCATTATGGACAATTTAATTTAAGCAATAAACACATAGAAGAGGCAGAGAAAGGATTGAATTCCTCGATATTGTAACCAGAATATTATTTTATTTTTCCTAGTATGGTTTATGCATAGGAAAAAGAAAAAGATGTACTATTTAAAAGTTCATCTGGCACAAATATGAGTTGATTATTTAATACACAATATAAAGTCAAAATAATGTAATTAAGACATGTTTAACCTCTGGATTTTCTACACCCTGACTGCTTATATGTCATGAATGAACTCTTAGTTTACGAATATATTTTAGAAATTATTAACTGAAAAAACATAAACTTTTTCGAGTGCAGGGGCGAAGCACACATTAACATCATTAATCTGGGAAAACATTTTTAGGGTTTTGCTTAAAATACTATGTTGTTAGTAAATTCAAGGAATCAAATCAAACAATGCTTATTTTTAATAAAATTATTACCTTTCCATGGGTTAAATTGAATTAAATAAAAATGCACATCTTCCATAATAAAATTCTTTAAAAAATAAAAATTTAAGGGCTGGGCGCGGTGGCTCAAGCCTGTAATCCCAGCACTTTGGGAGGCCGAGGCGGGTGGATCACGAGGTCAAGAGATCGAGACCATCCTGGTCAACACGGTGAAACCCCGTCTCTACTAAAAATACAAAAAATTAGCTGGGCACAGTGACACGTGCCTGTAATCCCAGCTACTCAGGAGGCTGAGGCAGGAGAATTGCCTGAACCCAGGAGGCGGAGGTTGCGGTGAGCTGAGATCGCGCCATTGCACTCCAGCCTGGGTAACAATAGCGAAACTCCGTCTAAAAAAAAAAAAAAACTTAAAAAAAATTTTTTTTAAGTTTTTTTTTTTTTTTCACAAATCTATTCTTAGCATCTGTTTCTTTATCATAATTTTTCATATTAGTATGGAGCTGTTGCTACCTTTTAAAGCACTTTTCTAATTATCATTTTATTTCTATCATTCTGAAGCATATAGAAATTTATAGATTTAAATGCAATTTTACATAGTGTTTCTTACTTGCTTCTTTTGAAAAATTTTTTAAGGTTGTTGGGGATGAATCTATTATCCCTAATTTACAGATAAAGGAACAGTCTAAATGAGGTTAAAGGGATTGTATAAGGACATACCCCAAAAATGGCAGAGATGAGACAAGCTCAGATTTTCTGATTCTGTCACTAACTTTTTCTGTGACCCTTGAAGAAGTCTCTTTGTATTTCTTTCTTCAACCGTAAAATAAGGTGTTAGCCAAGATGATCCTTATGGTACTTTACAGTTCAAACCTCATGATCCTGTGATTTTTTTGAGTTTTAATCTAGTCTATTTACTATGATGTGTGTGTGTGTGTATATATATAATCAATTAAAATTTTTGTGAAATAACTGTTGATTTTTACATGAATTTGTAAGAAAGAGTAGAGAAATATTAGTTTTACCCTCTGACACTTTCCCACAAGATAACAGTTTGCAATGTTGTAGCACAATACCATAACCAGGATATTGGTATTAATAAAATTTACCATTCTTATTTAGATTTCTCTAGTTTTATTTGCACTCATTGACGTGTGTGTATGTAATGAATTCCATACTATTTCATGACAGGTGAAGGTTTGTGAAGCCACTGGCAGAGTTAAACACTGGTTTATGGTTGTTATTGTTAATATGTTGTATTAACCTGTTCCCAGGTTGTAATAAAGACATGCCCAAGTCTGGGTAATTTATAAAGGAAAGAGGTTTAATTGACTCACAGTTCCCCAGAGCTGGGCAAGCTTCCACAAACTCACGATAATTGTGAAAGGGGAAGAAAACATGTCCTTTTTTACATGGCGGCAGCAAGGATAAGTGCAGAGTGAAGAGGGTGAAAGCCCCTTATAAAACTATTAGATTTCTTGAGAACTCACTCACTATCGTAAGAACAGCAGCTTGGGAGTAACCACCCCCATATCATTCCACTCCTGGATACCCCCAACTCTCATGTTCTTACATTTTAAAACTAATCAGTCCTTCCCAACAATTCCACAAGCCTTCACTCATTCTAGGATTATCTCAAATGTCCAAGTCCAAAGTCTTATCTGAGACAAGGCAAGTCCCTTCTGCCTACGAGCCTATAAAATCAAAATCAAGTTAGTTACTTCCTAGATAAAATGGGGCACAGCCACTGGAATATACCCATTCCAAATGGGAGAATTTGGCCAAAACAAAGGGGTTACAGGCCCCATGCAGGTCCAAAATCTAATAGGGCAGTCATTAAACCTTAAAGTTCCAAAATGATCTCCTTGGACTGCATGTTTTACCTCTAGGGCATGTTGATGCAAGAGGTAGGTTCCCATGGCCCTTAGGCAGCTCCACTTCTGTGGCTTTGCAGGGTACAATCCCCCTCTCAGCTGCTTCCATGGGCTGGCATTGAGTGTCTGTGACTTTTCCAGGTATGTGATGCAAGCACTCAGTGGATCTACCATTCTGGGTTATGGAGGACAATGGCCCTCTTCTCACAGCTCCACTAGCCAGTGTCCCAGTGGGGACTGTGTAGGGGCTCCAACTCACATTTTCCTTTCACACTGCCCTAGCAGAGCTTCTGCATGAGGGCCCTGACTCTGCAGCAAACTTCTACCTGTACATCCAGGCATTTTAATACATCCTCTGAAATCTAGGTGGAGGATACCCAACCTCAGTTCTTGGCTTCTGTGCACCCACAGGCTCAACACCACGTGGAATGTGCCAAGAGTTGAGGCTTGCACCCTCTGAAGCCCAGCCTTAGCTGTACCTTGGCCCCTTTTAGCCACAGCTGGAACAGCTGGGAAACAGTGCACCATGTCCTGAGGCTGCATGCAGCAGCAGATCTCTGGACCCAGCCCATAAAACCCTTTTTTCCTATTAGTACTCTGGGCCTGTAACAGGAGGGGCTACTGGGAGGCTTTCGACATGCCCTGGAGGCATTTTCCCCATTGTCTTGGCAATTAGCATTTGACTTCGCATTAGTTATACAATTTTCTGCAGCAGGTTGGATTTTCTCCCCAGAAAATGTGTTTTTCTTTCTACTGCATCCTCAGGCTACAAATTTTTAAAACTTTCATCTCTGTCACCTCTTGAATGCTTTTCTGCTTAATTTTTTTTTCTGCCGGATACCCTAAATCATTTATCTTTAGTTCAAAGTTCTACAGATCTCTAAGGCGGGGCCAAAATGCCACCAGTCCTATGCTAAAACAGTAATAGCAACCTTTACACCCGCGTCCAAGTTCTTCATCTCAATCTGAGACCAGCTCAGGCTGGACTTCATTGCCCATATCACTATCAGCATTTTAGTCAAAGCCATTCAACAAGTCTCTAGGATGTTCCAAACTTTCCCACATCTTTCTGTCTTCTGAGCCCTACAAACTGTTCCAATCTCTTCCTGTTACCCAATTTACTGTATTAGTTCTTTGTTTTGCTGCTAGTAAAGGCATACTTATGTCTGGGTAATTTATAAAGAAAAGAGATTTAATTGACTCACAGTTCCACAGGGCTGGGGAGGCTCAAGAAAGTTACAATCATGATGGAAGGGGAAAAAAACATGTCCTTCTTCACATGGTGGCAGTCAAGAGAAGTGCACAGTAAAGAGAGAAAAGCCCCTTATAAAACCATCAGATCTCATGAGGACTTATTATCACAAGAACAGCATGAAGGTATCTGTCCCCAGGATTCAATTACCTTTGACTGGGTGCCTCCTATGACACATGAAGATTATGGGAACTACAGTTCAAGATGATATTTGCCTGGGGACATAGCCAAACCATATTATACGTCTTTGTCAGGCCTTGGTATCAGGTTAACACTGGCCTCATAAAGTGAATTTGAAAGTGTTTCATCTTCTTCTATTTCTGGAATAGATTATAAAAATTTTTTAAAATAATTTTGTGATGCTACGCTTGAATAATATGGACCTATAAGTTAGATTTTCACAAGATTTTTTTTAAGTGAATATACAATTTATTTAACATTCAAACTTCATTAAGACATACACAATATGGCAATTTTACTGGGGATTAAACTCTACCTAGGATGATTGCTTGCTTGGGGCTTAGCAACAGGGTCCAGTTCACACTTGGCACTAATTAAATACTTTATTGAATAAATACAATACCAAACAAAATGCAGTCAAATGTTTTCTAAAAAAATTTTAAAGGTCTTTCTACTCAGGCTAATGACAAACACAACAAAGGCAGTTATGCTAGTTTAACATAATTGGCTGATTTTATACAGCACTTATATCTTTTAGTCTACAAGTATATTATTAAATGATAGAGAACATCTAATACAACCATTTCTACAGAACCAGGAAATAAATTTCTAAGAAAGAAAGATTTTACAGACTCCCATCTTTTATACCCACCCCAACAGTCTAACTCTAAAGAGGATAAAGCCAATGACTTTCCTCACAAGAGCTCACAACTAATGTCACTTTGCTATCAAAATCTGTATTTCGGATCCATTATGAGCATTGAGACAAGATTCAAATATTCCCAAAGAAAGAAGCACAATGCATGTTGCCATCGCCTATTCAGCAACAGCGAGCACTGCATCCAAAACTCTCATCCCAGGAATTAAGTAAGATCAGCCATATTCATGGGCATCTCCTCCACTGTAGTATTGTAGAAAGTCTCAATGTCACGAAGAATCCTCTTGACTTCTTCGGTAACAAAGTTTATAGCCACACCTTTCCTCCCAAATCGACCCCCTCTGCCAATTTCTTTATTCAAACAGTGTGCTGTTTCTCTTATGATTCCATGTCCTAAATTACGTCAACGCCGTTTTTGAGTGCCATCTCGTCATCAACTGCTGCTATCGACTCCTGTGAATGTAGTTTTCACGATGGGTAGGTAGATCATAATTTATAACCAAAGACACTTGTTGCACATTAATCCCATGAGCCAACAAGTCAGTAGTTATCAGAACACAGCTTGATCCTGATCGGAATTCCCTCATGATAACATCTCTCCCCTTCTGGTCCGTGTCACCATGTAGAGCAGAAACTGTGAAGTCTCTAGCATGCATTTTCTCAGCCAGTCCACCTTGTGCCTTGTATTGAGAAAAATAACAGCCTGCCTAATGGGCAGTGTCTCATACAAGTCACAAAGTGTATCCAACTTCCATTCCTCTCTCTCAACATTAATATAAAACTGTTTGATTCCTTCAAGGGTCAATTCTTCCTTTTTCACCAGAATTTGAATTGGATCTCTCATGAATTTTTTGGTCGCTTTCAACTCATCAGTTGGCATTGTGGCAGAAAGCAACACAACCTGAATACTTGTATTTAGTTTTTGGAAAATCTCATAGATTTGATCCTTAAACCCACGACTCAACATTTCATCTGCTTCATCCAAAACAAACATTTTGATCCATTTTGGAGAAAGATATCATCTGTTTAACATATCAAACCCTCTCCCAGGTGTACCAACAACAATATGTGGTACTTCAGCTTGCAGTTTTTGCATTTCATTTTGAACATTTGTTCCACCAATGCAGGCATGGCAAGTTGTTCTCATATAGTCTCCAAGTGCCAGAATTATCTTTTGGATCTTTAATACAGGGAATAATAGCTCTCTGCTGAATAGAGGAAGGCTTCTCAAAACCGTAAGCATAGATGCCCCGAAGAAGAGACTCCTTTAAATTCATATCATCAAAGTTATCAACAATCTCATTCCAGTTGCTCTCGATGACACCATCGGGGTCCATTCCCTCTGGGCCGCCACGTTCTCTGTTATAATCTGCGGAGCCACCAGACATGATCCGATAAACCCTCTCAGCGCCCGACTGAAAAGCGATTTTCACAAGATTTTTAATGATTAATTTATTTTATAGTCATCAGTCTATTTTCATTGTCTATTTTACCTTGTTTTTTTGGTGATAAGTGGTTTAAGGGGAATTGATGCATATTTTCTGACTTACAAAATAAATAAGAATTTTGTTCATAGTATTCCTTTTTCACTGTGGCTGCAGGATCTCTAATGATATCTTCTATTTTATTCCTGATATTAGTGATTTATTTTTCCTTCCTTTTTTGTCAGCCTTGCTAGAAGTTTATGAGTATCATTGATGCTTTCAAACTATTAGCTTTTTTTTTTTAATTTTATCACATTTTTTCTACATCACATATTACTCTTTTCTGTTATCGTCATTATTCATTTCCTTCTGCTTGCTTTAGATTTATTTTGGTTTATTGAGGTAATAAGTTGAGTGAATATTTCAAAGGATTCTGTGATTGCAATGTAAGCATTCAGTGCTATAAATTTCCCTCTCAGCACTGACTTACCTACATTTTCCATAATTTGATATGTTGTTGTTCTTCAATGTTTATATTTTTATTTCCTTTGTGACTTCCTCTTTCATGCTACTGATGTGTGTTTGTAAATTATGTGATGTATGTTAATTTTTATGTAATTAGAGACTGTTCTCTTGCCTCTGTTTTTGATTTCTAGTTTTATTCCATTGTGTTCAGAAAACATACTCTGTATAAATTTATTTAAAAACCTTGAGATACATTTTATGGCCCAGAATAAAGTTTATCTTGGTGAAAGGTCTAAGGGCCCTTTTAAAATGTTATTCTTCTGCTGTCCAAAGCAATATACAGGTTCAATAAAATTTCTATCAAAATGCCAATGTCATTTTTCACAGAATAAGAAAAACAATTCTAAATTTGATATGGAATCAAAAAGAATATTTAAAGCAATTCAAAGAATAAAGAACAAGCATGGAGAAATGGGGTTCTCTCACTTATAGGGAAGAATATATGATATATGGTTTTCAGTTTCTGTACTAGTTTGCTAAGAATAATGTCCTCCAGCTCCATCTGAAGTCCATCACATTGTTGGACTTCAAATTTTACTACAATGCTGTAGTAAACAGAACATCATGGTACTGGTATAGAACGAGACACATAGGTCAAGATGAAAGAATAGAGAGCTCCAAAATACAGCCACATACCCAACTGATTTTTGGCAAATCCACAAAAATGTCCACAGGTAAAGGACATCATTTTTAATAAATAATGAAAAAAAATTGATTGCCACTATCAGAAGAATAAAACTAGACCCATATCTCTCACCATATTCAAAAATCAATTCAAGATGTATTCAAGACATGAATTTAAGACCTGAAACTAGGCCAGGTGAGTTCACTAACACATGTAAACCCAGCACTTTGGGAGGCTGTCGTGGAAACATTGCTTGAGGCCAGGAGTTTGAGATCAGCCTCAACAACATACTGAGACTCAATCTCTGCAAAATAAAATAATAAAATAAAATAAAAATTAGCTAGGCGTGGTGGTGTGCACATGTAGTCCTGACTACTTGGGAAGTTGAAGTGGAGGAATTGCTTCAGATCAGTACTTCAATGCTGCAGTGAGCTATGATTGTGCCATTGTGCTTCAGTCTGGGCCACAGAGTGAGGCTCTGTCTCAGTAAAACAAAAACAGCAAACAAACAAAAAACTGGTAACTATAAAAATACTAGAAAAAAACTTTAAAAATCTCATCTAGACATAGACTTTGGCAAAAAAAATTTAACTAAGAATTTATGACAAGTGACAAAATCAAAAATACACAAATGAGACTTTTAAAAAATGTTAAACTTTTAGTTTTCTGGGTACGTAGTAGGTGTTTATATTTACAGGGCACATGAGATACTTTGACTCAGGCATGCAAGGCATAAAAATCACATCATGGAAGATGGAGTATTCATCCCTTTAAGCATTTATTCTTTGTGCTACAAACAATCCAAGTATATTACTTTAGCCATTTTAAAATGTAAAAATAAATTATTATTTACTATCGTCACCCTGTTGTGCTATCAAATATTAGGCCATATTCATTAATTGTAACAATTATTTTGTTCCATCAATCATCCCCTCCTTCCCCTCTACCTTCTCATTATTCTTACCAGCCTCTGACAACCATTCTCACACTATCTCCATGGTTTCAGTTGTTTTGATTTTTAGATCCCAGAAATAAGAAAGAACATGTGATACTTGTCTTTCTGCACCTAGATTATTTTACTTAATAAAACGATCTCTAGTTCCACCCAAATTGTTGCAAATAACTGAATCTCATTATTTTTATAGCTGAGTAGTACTCCATTATGTATAAATATCATATTCTATTTTTTTCTTTTTAATTTTATTTTTGAGATAAAGTCTTGCTCTGTTGCTCAGGCTGGAGTGCAGTGTTGTGATCTTCACTGCCTGCGACTTCCACCTCTTGGGTCCGAGCGATTCTTCTGCCTCATTCTCCCAAGTAGCTGTGACTCCCATGACTCCCATGACTACAGACCAATGCCACCACACCTGGCTAATTTTTGTATTTTTAGCAGACACGGGGTTTCACCATGTTGGCCAGGCTGGTCTTGAACTTGTGACTTTGAGTGATCTGCTGGTCTATGCCTCCCAAGGTGCTGGGATTACAGTCATGATCCACTGTTCCTGGACTCTTTTTTAAAGTTTTATTTTAAGTTCTGGTGTACATGTTTAGGTTTGTTACATAGGTAAACTTCTGTCATTGGGGTTTGTTGTACAGATTACTTCATTATCCAAGTATTGAGCCTGGTGTCCATTAGTTACTTTTTCTGATCCTCTTGCTCCTCCCACCCTCTACTCTCCAATAAGCCCAAATGTGTGTTGTTCTCTATGTGTCCATCTGTTCTCATCATTTAGCTCCTACTTATAAGTAAGAACATGTGGTATTTGATTTTCTGTTCCTTTGTTAGTTTCCTAAAAATAACGGCCTCCAGCTCCAACCATATACCTGCAAAAGACTTAATCTCATTCTTTTCATGGCTTCACAGTGTTACATGGTGTAAATATACCACATTTTGTTTATCCAGTCTATTACTTTTGGGCATTTAAGTTGACTCCATGTCTTTGCTATTGTGGGTGGTGTTGCAATGACACATGCATGTGTCTTTATGACATAATTATTTGTATTCTTTTGGATATATTCTTTTGCAATGCCAGTAATGGGATTTCTGGGTTTAATGGTATTTCTGTCATTAGGTCTTTGAGAAATTGCCACCCTGTCTTCCACAATGGCTGAACTAATTTAAACCCCCCAAAACAGTGTATAATCATTTATTTTTCTCCAAACCTTGCTAGCATCTGTTATTTTTTGACTGCTTCCTAATAGCTCTTCTGACTAGTATAAGATGGTATCTCATAATGGTTTTGATTTGTATTTCTCTAATGATTAGTAATAGTGAGCTTTATTTAATATGATTCTTTTCCACATGTATGTCTTCTTTTGAAAATTCTCTGTTCATGTCATTTGTCCATTTTTAATGGTTATTTTTCTTATAAATTTGTGTAAGTTTCTTAACAAATTAGGATATTAGACCTTAGTCAGATGCATAGTTTGCCAAACTTTTCTCCCATTCTGTAGATTGACTGATTACTTTGTTGAAGTTTTTTTTTTTTTTTTTTTTTTCCTGTGCAGAAGCTCTTTAGTTTAACTTGATCCCATTCATCAAGTTTTGCTTTTTCTGCAACTGCTCTTGGTGTTTTCATCATGAAATCTTTGCCCATATCTATGCCCTGTATGGTGTTGCCTAGATCATTTTCAAGGACTTTTATAGTTTTGGGTTTTACATGTAAGTCTTTAATCTATCTTTAATCTACCTTAATTTTTTACATGGTGTGAGGAAGGAGTCCAATTTCAATCTTCTGCATATGGCTAGGTAGTTTTTCCTGCATCATTTTTAAAATAGGGAATTCTTTCCCCACTGCTTGTTTTTGTCGGCTTTGTAGATCAGTTTGTTGTAGGTGTGCAGTCTTATTTCTAGGTTCTCTACTCTGTTCCATTGGTCTATGTGTCTGTTCTTGTGCCAGTACCATGGTTACTGTAGCCCTATAGTGTAGTTTGAAGTTGGGTAGCATGATGCTTCCAGCTTTGTTCCTTTTGCTTAAGAGTCCCTTAGATATCTGGGCACTTTTAGGGTTTTATGTGAATTTTAAAATAGTTTTGTTGTTGTTGTTTTTTAGTTCTGTGAAGAATCTCCATGGTAGTTCAGTGAGAACAAAACTGAATCTATAAATTGCTTTGGGTAGTATGGCCATTTTAATAAAATTGATTCTTTCTATCCATGAGCATGGGATGTTTCATTTGTTTGTGTCATCTCTAATTCCTTTGAGCAGTGGTTTGTAGTTTTCCTTGCAGTGTTCTTTCACTTCCCCAGTTAGCTGTGTTCCTAGATATTTGACTTTTTGTGGCAATTGTGAATAAGAGTTTGCTTCTGATTTGACTGTTGTTGGTGTACAGGAATGCTAATAATTTTTGCACACTGACTTTGAATCCTGAGGCTTTGCTGAAGTTGTTTATCAGCTTAAGAAGATTTTGGGCTAAGATTGAGGTTTGGCTTTGAAGTAAACTATGTAGAAATATGATGTAGGCCTGAATCAAAACAGTGGCAATTAAAATATAGAGAAGTGGACAGATCCAAGAAAAATTCAGGAGGCAAGATTGTCTGACCATTTAATAGCGGGTGCTGAATTAGCATTCTGTTATTAATGACTGCAAGATATCCAGCTTGTGTGGGTAATATAGATGATGTTCATTGAAATAAGAGGGTAATACAAAGGTTGAACACTTTTAAATGTAAGATGTAGACAGATTTTACTTGAGTACTAAGTTATTAATTTACTCATACTTTTTATTGTCTTATAAATAATTTCCATTAATGAGCAGAAGGTATTTTCCAGTAACCTAGTAATACTTGTTTTTCTAAACCTGCTTCTCTTTGGGGCATTGATGTTTTCACTTTAGGAATTTTATT